TCTTTTTGGAAAACAAACATTCGAAAACATAATTAATTCTGGAGAGGATCTGCAACAGAAAATAGCATCACTAGGAAATGCTGCAAAGTCTGCTTTTGCAAGAGCCAACTTGGTGGGTAAGATAGACCGGCTGTATTTCCTCTTCTCTCTCTCTTCCTCCACTTTCCATTGTAGATACCCTGGACCAGTTTGTAGTGATGGAACAGGGAGCAAAGCAGAAGAGTTCTGCCCATCTAAGAGTTTAGCCGTTGAGTTGTGAAAATGGTCACACCTCCCTCGGTGCCTGGCTTTGCAGGAATAAGGGTGTTTCCAGCGCTTAACACGTGTAGAAAGGAAGAGGCTTGGTGTGTCTGTCCAGGGGTGGCATTCTAAGATGTTGATTCCATTTCTGGGCAGGCTCTTCCCAGGAAGCGTCGTTCTTGCAGAAGCTCTTCCTAAGGCATGTGCCGTTCCCTAGCGTTGTAGGCGGGATGATTGTTCACTGCAGAAATCCAGCCTCCCTTCACCTTGCTTCAGTCCTCTTTCCTCAGGCAAGATAGAAGCTGTAGAATAGCAAACAACCCCTCACTCCATAGTGACTTAATCTGACATCCCCCAGATGTGTTATGGAACATCTCCTTCCGCAGAGTTGCTGATTGTTTAGAAAACAGAAATGGGGCTTCCTCAGCTATCGCTTCTGACAGCGGTTGAAGATCAGGAACAGAACAATGCAGCCAGTTAAAATCCAGAGGGAAGCCCAACCAAGGCAATGTGTGAGTTGGAAATTGTTGTGCTCACAAGCATGTGGTTTCAGGGGTGATATAAAGTAAAATTTGAGCGGCTGTCAGAAGTCTTCTGCTGCTGCCCTGGTGTTTTTCAGCTTCCACAGGCTTTGGTTCTTTGGCTGCCTCTGATCAACCCTACCAAAAGTACACCAGCGACAGGGTTCAGGGGAAGGGGGTTTCTAAATTCAGCTGAGTGCGAAATACCAACTGGGAACCCTTCTGAGAGTTTAGGAGGGACGATGGTGGCAAGTGCTATTCTGTGACCAGGAGCAGAAGATGTTCAGAACTGCCAGGGAAGCGAAGCACATCAATAGCCCCGTAAAATGCCTTTGGTGGATCTGGTCTGACATTCTGCTAGATTGATTCATCAGGATGTGCTGTTCGCAAATGAGTTAAATTCCATCATCCTTGGCTGGTTTTAATTTAAACATGATTTTAGCCACCTCCGAGCAGACGTTGGTTTAGTGTTTTGAAAAAATGACATTTTCCCCCTCTGCTAAAGCAGACTAATGAAGCTGTATTAGTGCCCTAACTTGAGCAGTATATAAAGATTAGTAAATAAGACCCCATTAAAAATACTTATAATGTAAGCAACATGGGTCCCAGTAGCCTTTCTAATGTCCATTAATGCTTATTCTGAGGATCAGAGCTCATTTTACTGAGCCATTTAGTCAAACTGTGCGATTATTTAGAAAGTTAATTCATGCATACTAAAATCAGGCTTAAGTAATGCAGAGGGTAGGAGGTAAAACTCTATGGAGATGATAGTCCTTTTTGTTATTTAATGATCAGCCATAATTAACTTGCAAATTTGAAATAATTAGAACAAATTAAAGGTATTTAACTTTGCCTCCCTAAAGAAAAATTCAAATTGCACCAAATGCAGTTTTAAATTATTCAAGTCTCCGAGGTCTGTGCTGGGTTTTCTACCCCCCCTTCCCCCCCTGTATAATGCTTTTTTCTATGACAGGAATACCAATCTGCTTTTTGTCAGAATGCTTCCTATCAAGTAATTGTTCTTTGTGTCTAATAAATGACAGCTATTCTTCTTGGTAAAAGTATTTTAGTCTCTGAAGACTACATCAGCATTTCCGTGGCATTTTAATTCAATAAAACAAAAGGTTAACTTTTTTCTCCTCCTTTCTCTTCTATCCCTTCTATCCCCCCCCCCTTTTTTTTTTCTTAAGGAACACAAATCTTAGCGAGGGGGTCCTGAATGGCTCAGATTTGCCATTCTGGCTCAGAGGCAAGGTCTGGCTATGAGGCAGCAGAGGAAATCAAGTTACGAGTGGTTGATTTTGGCAAAGTTTAGATAAAAGAGTGTGGAGGTATCTGACAATGAAATTCTCTTTTTCTGTATTTTACCTCTCCACTCTGTTGTTAGCTATTGTTCTGGGGACAAGGCGGAGTGTTCACTGCAGGGAGGCTCTGTGATTCTTTGTATATACAACAAAACAGCCTTCTCCAACCTAATGTTCCTTCTGATCTTTCGGACTACTGCTGCATTCTGGTTTAGGAAGATGATGGGGTAACCCCAAACGTCTGAGGGGATCCCTAGGTTGGAGAAGCCAGATTTAACCGATTATCATAGCATAGGTGTCTAAATGATACAAAGCAAAATAAAAAAAAAGAGTTGTTGGGAGTTGGGTAGCATACAAATTTAAAAAATACTAACAATAACAACAACAACAATAAATCCTCAAGGAACCAGATTAAAGGTATCAAATCCAGTGTAGGAACACAAATCATGCAGTTTATTTATGCGATTTATGTTATAGTCAAGACCCAAGCTAGACATTTTCTAGCCTAAATTGGTTAATTAAAAATTGGGTGAAATCCCTCTGAAATCATGCAGCCTTTCTGGGCTTGCCTTGTGAATGTCCAGGACATCCTCTTTGGCCAAGGTGATGGGAAAGAAGGAATTTGTTTACCGTTTTCCATAACATTCCAGTGTGGCATCAGACCTGTTCAAGTTTTCTATGGTCCTGGACAAAGATGTCTCAGGAAGAGTCTTTTGGTATCAAATGAATTAAAATAAGGTGGCAGAGATAAAGGTTCTGTAGGCAGGACCCACGGCTATGTAAAGCCCAAAGGTTTTGAAATCATCTCTGGAAGCGTCTCTTGGATTTTCTTTCAGTGCTGGAGGCTTGGTGCTGGTGCTGGCTACCAGCTTGGCTGGCTTCCAGGAAACTTTGGACCGGTTCATGGAAGTCATGAGAATCCATGTCTATTAACCTTTAATGGCAGTGGGACTGCCTCTGAAGGCCATCTGCTGGGAGACCAGTGGGCTTCCTTGTACAGTTGGTTGGCCACCGTGAGAACAGACTGCTGGACAAGATGGGCCAGGGGTCCAATCCAGCAGGCACAGCTTATTGTCTTAGGTTCGTATGCTTATGTTCTTAGACTCGATTTAGACATTATGTTAATTGCCCAAATGCAATTATTATGGATATTTTTATAATGGAAACAGTAGCCATGGGGATGCCTCCATAACCTCTGGACCAAGGATGAGGGCAATGGTATCTGCAATTATAATTCTCCCTCCCTGCCACCATCCTGACAAAAGTGCTTCCCCATAGCTGCTCTTTGGGAAGGGACCAGCGGAGGCTGCCCTGGAAATACAAATAGCAGCTTCGAGAGCAGAGATCTTGTGGCAGAGAGAAGGAATTTTAACTTGGTGCATTAATTGCATCTATGGATTTCATATCTAGTTTGGCCCTATGTTTTAAATAGTTGCTGTATGTCTGTGTGAGTATGTGTGCATGTGTGGTGGTGGTGAGCACTCTTTGCATCAGGTGGGAGGGATAATCCTAGCCAATATGTACCCCAAATTGTCAGTGTAATGGGGAGGCATTTGCCCTATCTCTGGAAATATCTTCCTATGCTTATATCTTAAAACTCTGCAGTGTTAGTACCCTTGAAATCCACATTTGGTATTAATTCTTTTCTTTCCTAACTTCTGGTCCTTCAGGCTTTAGCTCACATTAAGAGCTGAAGGGTCAGACCCCAAGGCCTTGTTAGCAGAGCTTGTTATGCTGTACAGATTTTTTTCATTTCGTCTCCATCCAGTCCTTTAAAATTAGCAATTTAATTTTTTCCCCTCTGCTACTTGTAGTGCTACTCAACCTTGAATGCAACGTTGCATCCTAAAGGTAACCTTGCGGCATGGAGAGAAGCCATTGGGTCGTTTCAGTAGAGGAACTTCCTCCCACTAATTGTAGCCAGTCAAATGTCCACCTCTTCAGAAAATAGCGCTATCCGTTCTCGTTGAAGCCAGTAACCCCCCAAATAACAACGGGGGTCCTAAATATCTTGAAATGATGCTAATTGGACTAAAACCGGTGGGTGAAAGAGAGCTTTGCTTCTCACCTTTTCACAGGTAGAAGCAGGTACAGTATTGCAAACCAAGGGAGCAAGATGGGCTTTTCCAAGAGAAGTCTTTGAGATGACTCCTACACCTTCCTACCCCTGAGCCTAGCCCTTCTAAATAGATGGGGGCTTAAATTCCATGCTTCCCAGCTAACATGGGCAAAAGGCACATTGATGGGGAAATGAGGTTGTAGTCCAACACATCTGGAAGGCGCAAGGTTGAGGAAGGCTCATCTCAGAGACTTTTTGATCGACTGAAATACTTTGGTTATCAAGGTGTATAATACCTTCTCACTGCAAACTCAGTCCTTGAGTACCATCAGTTTAAGACAAAAGGATGTTACAAACGTGAGGGAAGCTATCCGCATGTTCGGGGAATCATGTTTCCAGAACATCTTCCCCCCTATTGTACTCTGAGCAATTCATAGCAAAATAGGCTTGACTGTGGCTTCTTGAACCATTTTCAAGTCAATGAAAATAACCCACATTTTGAATGAAATCTTTGTTCAGTATAAGGATTCTAATTATTAGTCTGCCTTGCAGGATTGTTGGAGAGATCACTAGCTATGGTTGCTTAAACGCTTTGCACTGTTGAATCTCTGATTATTCAGATTCCGATTCAAAATGAGTACGAACAGTGTCGAGGTCATATGGAAAATGAGCAGCCTCATTTTTAACCCAAGCCATCACTGTGCCGCAAATTGCTGATGGGTGTGTGTATTGTTGTGTACTACTTCACTGTGCTTATCCAACTGACTATTTTAATGTAAGTTCAGTGGTAACTTTCTGTGTTAGACTGAAGATGAGAACCTTAAAAAAAGAAACCTCTGATTCACAGTTTCTTCTTCCCTTTTCCTTCTCTTCCAGTTCCCCCAAGTTGGATTGTGAAGATTGTCTTTTAAGGACACCCTCCAGGAAAGGCTGCAGAGCACCGGAAGGCAGTGAAGGGATCCATTCCGGGGCAAGGAGTGTGGGCTTCAATAGTGATGCAGATGGCGCAACCCTTTGGGACGGCACAAAAAAGGAGCCTGTAAGGTCCAGACGAGGTGAGAAGTGTTTCTGCTCCTCCCTGCCTCTTGTTCAGCATTTCCCAGATCTCTGAGCCTGCGCTTCTCTGAGTTGGTCATGGGAGCCACCGGGTGGGATGTCAACAGTCTCTTTGGATTAGCAAGCGGGTTGGAGATATGAAGGACCTCCAAGGCAGCAGAGCTAATAGTGTGTCCCCTCCCCCCCAATTAAATAACCTGCCCCATTTAGTATGGAATGGGTTTTCTTAGTTATTTCAGGTTAGATTGTCACCATTAGTAAGCTGAGAGGGCAACCTACAGAATTGCCACCCTCCCAGTTTTGAAATGTGCTTTCAGCAGATGATCTCCAGGTTTCCCATACAAAGCAAACAATTACTGATTTGTGCAGTACAAGAAAATGTCGTGAAAGGGGTTTGTTTAAACTAGAGATTAGGGTACATTCCATTGAAGCACATATTGGCTTATTGACAGTGCTGGAAGCAAATGTGAGCCTCAAGGGGATGGGTGGGGTTACAGCCCCTCTTTATAGGCTTATGCAAATTAGAATATACCAGTGATTGGATATAGCAGCCAGGTATAGACACAGCTAGTGTTTGATTGGATATAATGCATCATGTTGCTAGTGTGTTTGGTGAGGCCATTAGGGTATAACTATGAAATAATTGGGTGGGACTACAAAGTCGTTTTGAAAGCACAAAGAGGCAGTTATTCCATGAACGGAGTTTCTTTCTAGAGAGTTTCTTTCTTCTCCTTTCCCAGGGCTCTGCTCACCCCCTAGAACCTTTTCTCAGTTTATCATTATCAGCATTCCTTGGCCTTCTCAGTGGTTTATGGCTGAGCCAAGGGTGTCCTCGGGGTATAGCCAACGAAGTCAAGATGGTGGGCATGATGATGCAAGCACACAAAAGCAGGTGGAGCTTTGATCACATCATTGCGGCCACCGTCTTGATTTTTTTTACCACCCCTGGCTGAGCTGACAGATTTAGTTTCCCTGGAGAAGCGGATTTGGGATAGAGGCTTTTACCTTGACCCCTAAAACTCTCCCTCACTTGCTTACTTCCTGGGCCTTCTATGCCACTCCAGTCCATGTGAATAAATATCTTCTTACTACTCAGGAAATACTACTACCTTACTATCTTTCTTACTACTCAGGTATTCCCTGAGTATCAATGCAGGCTTCACTGAGCCAGGTGGCACAGTTTTGGTCCCATTTATCTCCCCTCTGTTTCACCTATATGTACCCTTGACTGTATACATGTACAATACTTCCTTTTAGACCCTGCCCTACGTTGGCTTCAGCCATTCAGGGCTCTCTGTACAGCCCAAGCTTTGGCTCCAAGCTTTAGCTACTCTGTAAAGTGGTTCTTGCATTTTTGTTAACAGTTAACAAATGCTGAAATGATGGACACAATACCTGATAGAATAGCAAATTGTGAATTAGTCTAGAGTTTATAAATTTGCTACAGTCAGCATATAGACATAACTAGTGTCTTCAGAAACATATCTCCTTTCCCTTCCCAAATTTAAGATGTTTCTATTTGGTTTGACCTTCCATTATAATGATGGTAAGTTGGCTAACTGATAACCCTTGAAATGCCTGAACCTTAGTGGCCCGCTTGCCATAATAAGTAAGCATGTCCCTGCAACTTCCATCATTTCTTTTCATTACCTGGCTTACTGGCCACCATAGAGTCTCAATTGGATGAACTTTAATTGTCTTAAACTTACAAGAAAAACATGGCTGGAACTGAAATGTCAATTTTGGCTTGGAGGCAATTGTGTTGGCCTGTCTGATTTGGACACAAATGAGGAAATGAGGAAGGAATTGGAGTATCCAAAAGAAAAGTGTCACTGAGGATGGCCCATTCCTTGTGTCCAAGTCATAATTTTTCTGTGTTCTTTGAAGCACTGCTATATTGACAATTACAAATGGCTCACCCTAGCTGATAGCATCAGCCAGCAGGATTTGTTTATGTATTTTTCTGTATTCCCTGCTGCCTTAAATGCGTTAAATACTTGTATATAGTAATAACAACTCTTACTGTTTTTATTGTTATTTATAATTCATTACACCCATCCAACATTTTCAATGTATTACTTATTTAGTTCTCTCTCTCTCTCTTTCTCTCTCTCTCTCTCTCTCTGTGTGTGTGTGTGTGTGTGTGCAGGCATGCCTAGGAGATTCAGCAGGTATTTCTATCAAATCAATAATCTAGACTATTACAATCTCAGCATTTGTGAGCAATTCATTTATTCCTTTGCAAACTCCATTTTCCAGTCTGTTTCCCATTTAATCTAAGTCTAATTGCATTTAAATCAGACCTAATTGCATTTAAATCTTGTTGAAGTTGTCCTCTTATTTTATTCTGCACCAATATTCTGTAAGGAGAGCCATGCTGGGTTAGACCAGAAGTCTAACTAGCTTCTGCATTGGCCAAGCAGAGATTCAGGAAGGGCTTGAAAGAGCACCCTGCACCGTCCTCCAGCACCTGGTACCCTGAGTTCCATGTCCACGCCACAGCGAAGAAGAGCACGGCGAATTGTCATTTTGTTCAAATTTCGTGGCATAGCTTGCATGGTCCCTTCTCCCTAGGAGGGAAGGTGGAACGAATCACAGCGGCTGCGTCCCCTTGGAAAACCGTTTACTCTGTGAACAGTCTCAGCGCAATCGTTTTTTTTTTTTTAACAAGGGATGGGGCTTTGTGTGGCCTGAAAACTGAGATTGGGAGCTCAAAGAGATGGGCAGGTTGCTTTCTCTGTTGACCTAGCCCTGTCAGTCCTTCAAGAAAGATGATGAAACTGCCCCTCATCACTGCACAGGGAAAACATATGCCCCTTCTGGCTGTTCTTGTACCGTAGAATCACACGCCATCGAAATCCTGCCATTTGAGGAATCTTGAAGCCCCAGGTTCCTCCATTCTGCATCATGAGAGCCACTGGCCAGATTAGCACAGGAACCCAGAAGCTGACTGGTCCTCAAGATGTGCCCAGAGATATGATTTAAGTTCAAGTCCACCCCTGTAACGGTGATTTCCTCCTGCAGAAAAATCATAGAGCACATCTGCTCACCGGTCACCCACCTGCCTTTGCCCTTCTCTGCAGGTAGATGGGGGTGCACAAAATAAACAAAGGTAATATGTTTATTCTTCCCCAAGCCCTCAAGATAGGGCAGGAAAGTGTCAGTCAGATGCCTAAGGCCTTGCAGTGGCCTTAGAAAGAAATAGAACGAAAAAAAGAGGGGAAGGGAACGAGACATGATTTTCTAGCAGAAAAAAGCCATTCCAGGAGTGGATTTTTATGGTGCAGTCTTCTAAATGCTCCCCACCCACCCCCAATCCTAATCTTTGGGAAACCAGCATTTTCTAAGCCACATATGTCTTTATAGCGAATATTCTTCCTGCTTTTGGCTCAGCACGTCCACTTTAAGAGCAAAGTAAAACACTACTTCTTGTGTGCCAAAAAATAAACAAATTGGAGAAGTCTTGTGCTTTGCTGCAAATCCTAACCTAATCTTTGGGTCGCTCATGAGCTCCCTCTCCCTCTCCCTCTTTTCTGTTTTTCCCCCCCTTTCCTTTTCTCTCCTTTTAAACTTGTCCACGAGTTTGCAATTTGTGTCAGCAGAAACATAAAAAGAAAGGGAAAATGTGTGCAGCTCTCTGAGGAACAAACCAGTTGCGTTATCGGTTAAGACTGTGGCCACGTTTAAGAAAAGAGAGAAGCTTTTGCTGCGAAGAAACTTTTGAAAGGTATCATCAGAGGGGTACCCAGACCGAGGGTGAGGTTAATCTCTTCCAAAGCTCAGCTACAAAAGTTGGAAGCCGGCAAAGGGCTTGTGTCCAAAAGAAATCAATTTCTAATTTGAAACAAAATCATTTTTGACTAACAGGAGTTCAGGACCCATTACTTTTGCTCTATACTCTGCTGACATTTCAGCTCTTTCTGTAGCGCGCAGTGAATTCTAATAGTCATCTCATAACGTTGCTACACCAATCAATTTAAGCGAGAGAAAGCCGTTACGATTCTGTGAAGTTTTCAGGGGCAATTTTCACTGATGGATTTCTTTTTTCCCCCTCTCTTTCCTTTTCCTTTCTTTTTTAAAACCACCATTATTTTTTTTCTTCTTTCTACGCACACACACACACACACTCTCTCCCCTCTTTCCTGCAACTACCATGTATGGGCATTGATACCCTCTATTGTTTCATGACTCCTCTATGCATTTACTTGTGGATTAAGTACCTGAAAAGTCGGTTGACCTTACTGCCCAATTCTTCTGTTCCCCTTTATTGCCGACTCCACTTTTGGAGCAATCTGGTAGTGAAATTATAGGCAGGTAAATGTTGGCTTGCTGTCAGAAGTGTGATTAGGAATAATTAACAGATGGCCATCTCCACTTCCATTGACAGAAGGTTTATTGAAGATTCTGGACCAGATCCACAAGGTGTTCCAGTTGCGAGGGTGTGTGGTTCTTCTTTTGTCTCATGAATTTCATAGAGGATCCCATGCCATGACTTGGAATCAAATATCCTGCTTCCCTCTATATCTATAGTAATATATATCTTTCGGGGGTGACTTCCAATGTCATCTCAGTTTTTCATATTGGACAGTAAGAAGAGAAGAAGTTAAGAGAAACAGAGGGCTTACTTGTTTGAATGAGCAAGAAGTCCATTTTGCTTATGGAACATTGTGGTGTGTTCATAGCATGCTACATCCGAGTAACAAATCAAAATTGCTGTGTTCACCAGGGATATCTGCAAGGGTGGTAAAAAATGTCAAGATGGCAGCCACAACCTAATGATTGAAGCCCTACCCTCTTTTTTAGCGCATGTTGCATATATAAAAGGGTTGTGGCTTCAGTCACACAGTTGTGGCTGCCATCTGACTTTTTTGAACCTCCTTGCGGACACCCCTAGTGTTCACATCTAACCTGCTCTGACCAAACAAATGAACCATAAGTTGGCTTGCCATGATGGCCTGGCTCACCCAAGATAGGAAGACAGTGCCTGGTTTCCTACATCAGGCTGAACCACAAACTATCCAACCCCATGTTAATTTAATTTAATTTAATTTAATTTAATTTAATTCGTTGTATGAAGCCAGCCGTTGTTTTCTCACTTGAATGAGGAAACCATTGCATGTGACAAAATTGGTCCAACTTCTTTATATTTGTTTTCTATTGTTGGTTCCTTGTTGTGCAACCTAAAGAAAAGTCACATTCTGTCATCTGAGGAAGTCTCCCTACCACCACCTTCTTTTATGGCTGTTTCAGTGAAATTGTCTTCTGTTATTTATAAAAAATGTCCACCGATACTTCTGTACTACCCACGGCAGCTAATAATTCTTAAAGCCAACGATATTCCAAAAGCAGATCCAGCAGATAAAATAACAGATAAAGCAGAGGTATTGTGCAATGCTCACGTCCCATAAAACAAGCACCTTTCTAAATGAGAACATTAATGAAAGCTAAAGACTCTGAAAGAGTTCCCACAATTTAGGTGTGACCTGCACAAAGCCCCTTTTTCCCTATAATTTCTGTATGAAATATTCCAAATCTGACAGAAGTCATGTGTGTGGACTCAGAGGTCCTTGTATTATGGCTTTGTGACCTCTGCTCTCATCCAGGTATAGATTACCTGGAGAAGAACCATACTTGCATGTTCCTGGTTTGCTTTCTAAATTGTGTAAGTTCTAATATTCGTTCATTTGGAATAATTTCTTGGGACTGTTGAAAAATTCTATCTCATTTTACTGTTTCAGATAGAGAGATAGAGATAGATATAGTATATTCCTTCAAGAAACCGCATTGTTTAGGTGTTATACGTTTATTGTTCTGGCTTCTGTCAAGGTTTTTACTGCTTATAGCTTGCCTGACCCCATTGTGGGAAGATCTCGTGGGCTTTCTATGAGGAATATGCAAAGAGATCTTGATTCGCTCTGTCCATATTATGTGTTATGGATTATGTATAAGGATTATGATAACCATAGGAAAAGCTCTGGATGTTTTCCTTTCCCCCAGATTTTTCTTGATGGGCTAGTTTTAGAATTAACTTCTGACTTACAGATGTTCAGCTAACCTGAAACTGTGGTATAGGAAAAGGAATGCATTTTTAGACGAATTACAACAGTGCCTAGATGGTTCTGTGTTTGCTTTTGAAACTCTCCCAGTTACCGTGGAAATCTACACTAGCATTGTGAGTTTTTTCACCATTCCCAGTGAAAACTGGAAATCCAGAGGCGAAGTTTTCAAGAGTTGGCCTGAAGGTCATTAGGGAATGGCAGCCTGTCACAGGCTGAAACCACAAAAGTGACACCAAGTCTACTCTGGGTAGTATATATGCAATTAAGACTCCAGGCAGCCCTGAAAATATATGTTCATTCCCTACCTGTCACCGGTAACAACAACTTAGCCTGCTGATTCGCCGTATCTAAAGCTCCCTGAAGAATAACATGATCCTTGGGTCTGGTGTCTGAAGTAAGACAAAGCAAGAAAAGGCTGCTGCAAATGTTTCTTCTTTCCACAGGAATGATGCCAAGCTCTGGGAAGGATGCAGCTACGTCTCCTGGATTGACAGGCAACAAGAAGGGGCTTGTAACGGCGGCTACCTCCCCAATCCAGCATGGGGCTTGGCGGTAAGATGGCTGGCGATCTCTGGTTTAGGATTCCACAGGCACGACCGTCACATTTGCCCCCCATGCCAGGAGAAGAGTCTGACTTTCATGCGTTCCTCCAGCTGAATCTTATAAACTTAGATCTGCCATATCTTGTGACATTTATAGTAAGCCTCAAATTGCTTGTTAGAATAAGAAATGCAGGGATACGCCAAGTTCTAATGTTTTAATTTTTACTTAGATTCCAGGAGAGGGAGAGGGAGAGGGGGAGAGAGAGAGAGAGAGAAATGTATTTTAAAATACTGACGCATTTAATACATTCGTAAATAATTTAAAGGCAATATGGGGTTAGTTTTTTTCCTTTCCAAAGTCTGCTTGGCCTTACACCCCCCCCCCAAGTTGCACCGTGTTTTATCACAGTGCATTTCTTGCCAAGCTATTTTATACTGTTTTGCCACGGTATGGAAAGCAACTAAATTGTGTGTCATTAACAATTCAGATAAGTTATCTAAAGAAGCCTCAGATGGCAATACCGCAATTATGAAGAAGCCATAGCTTTGCTCATCAAATTGGGAATATTGATGTTACTAAATGGGGCAGTTTCTAGTTTGGACAGGGAACTCTTCACCCCCTGCACGTACAATGCTGGCTGTTTGCCAGCCTGAAACTAGCCTGGGAATACAGGTAGTCCTTGCTTTACAATGGTAATTGGACCGGAATTTCTGCTGCTAAGTGATGCGGTTGTAAAGCGCAGTGTCATGTGACCATGCCGCTTAGTGACGGCAGTTCCGGCAGTCCCTGGTTACCGTCGTTAAGCAAATCACCACAGGTCATTAAGCAAAGGCCTTGCATGACCACGACTTCCTGCTTCCCTCTGACTTTGCTTGGGGGAAGCCAGCAGGGAAGGTTGCAAACGGCTGTCATGTGACTGCGGGATGCTGCAATGGTCAGAAACCCAGGCTGGTTGCCAAGCACCCAGATCATGATCACGTAACCGTGGGGACATTACAACGGCTGCAACTTTGAGGACTGGTTGTAACTGCCACTCGTTCAGCACTATCATAAGTTTGAACGGTCAGTGAATGAGTGGTTGTTAACTGAGGACCCCTTGTGTATTCTTTCTCTTTTCTTCTTTGGAGCACAAAGGGCTTTCCCTTGTTCATTTGAATTATGCTTCAGCATCATCTCTAGGCAGATGTTAGCTGTGATTTCTTGAAAATGGCTTTGCAAGTTTCTTTCAAGTGCTAGGAGTGGTGGGACCCTGGTATAAACGTTTGTAATATAATTGGTTATAGTAATATAAGCCGCCAGGCAGCTCTGCTGTCCCCATGCACTGACAATGTTACCTAGCCTAGTAATGAAACATCTGCCGGAACACCGCCAAGCTCAGAGAACACCCTGAGCTATACGTATTCTCTACCACTGAAACGTTGGTGTCGCTGAATTCTGCTTAAGGCAGACAAGACCATGGCGGGGGCGGGGACAATCTCTGGCAATGTGAAATATTTTAATCTTGCTTCTTGAATTCAGACTGAGAAGTGCCTTGCGGTAAGCTGCAACTTGTTTTAGTCCTGAAGTGTTGAAACCACCAGTCTTGCAGATGTATGCAATAATCATGGCTTACTTTGACCAATACGTGGTTTGATTGTTTTTCCCTTTCCCTTTCCCTTTCCCTTTCCCTTTCCCTTTCCCTTTCCCTATCCCTTTCCCTTTCCCTTTCCCTTTCCCTTTCCCTTCCCCTGCCCCTTCCCCTTCC